TTTTTGCTAAATTCCTGCAAATATATGTATTATCCTCATACCCTAATTTCCTTTATTTTTAATAACTAAGGGGTTGAGACCAGTTTCGATTAATCCTCACAGGGGCTATCCATAGTAAAAAACCTCATACTCATTCTCGGAAAACCCAAATTAGTTTTTGTCAAAATAGACAAAATGTTTAAAGAAAAATAAATAATACGATGAAATTAGGCAAATATATATTATGCCAACCTCATTTTCCAAGCATTGACTTGGTACAATATCTCTTAAAATAAAGGAATTGAAATAAAAATTCAGAAAGTGCAACATCACACTCTTTAATTAAACATAATCTAACAAAAATAATGTGAATCAAGTAAATATAATCATATGAAACTATATCACGTGATGAACGATAAGGTTTTTCAAATTTTCAATACGTAGCTGACACCAAAATAGAAAGAAGTGAATGAAAGTTGTGATAAATATTTAATAAGTTATTAGTTATTATAAATTTAACAGATGATGATTAGATTAGAATGCGCAAAATGTAATAAATGACAAAATTGCTAAGGCAAAAGTTATTTACTTTGAAAATGTCCACGCCCTTTTGACAACAATAAAGTGTCATAGCGAAGCTTGTCTCGACGGACAAAGAGGTATGTCTATCATTATAATATTGTTAATTATTTGGTTTTTTGAATTTATAGAGTGTTCAATGAATTTTGAAAATTAGTTGAGGTATGTATAAATTGATCCAGACACCCCGGTTACAAAAAACAAAAAAGTGTTATATCGACTTGACAAAGTGCTCTTCTTGAAAAGGAAAATGCCAAGTATGGCAGCCTTTCCGATCTGGTTCAGGTTTTAGAGGTTTTCAATATTTTTCAAAGTTGTAAGGACTAATTTATAATTTTTGGGGATGTTTTTATATATTTCAAAATTTTAGAGACCATTTTAATTTTTTAGGGGCATTATTGAAATAAATTAAAAAAAATTTGGTTGAATTGGGGATGTAAGGGTATTTTTATAATGTATTAAAATTTAAGAAACTAATTAAATTTTTAAAAATATTTTTTATTACTGACGTCACCAATTCAACCGATCGATCTAACTGGTTGGACCAATCAACCCGTGACCCAATCACCTTGCCGAGTCTCACAACGATCGAGTTTTAAAACAACACGACTATCCAGATTCGAAAATGTTTCAAATCATAGATCAAATAAGCTAGTTCACACACTTGAAATCTCTGTTTTAAAAACCAAACCGGACCGGGACTCGGACCCGATAGCTTCTCCGGTTCGGTTCAGGTCTTAGGGGGGTTTTTATAATATTTTAAAATTATAAGGGTTAATTTAAAATTTTATAAGAGTGTTTTGAAGATATATCAAACGTTTAAGGATTAATTGGTCATTTTTTGAGGAGATTTTTAAAGTAAATAAAAATTTTAGGGACTAATTAACTTTTTTAAGGAAATTTTTGTAATATATTAAAATTTAAGGGATTAATATGTAATTTTTAAAAAATAAAATTGTTGCTGACATCATCTGTCTAACTAGTTGACTCATGACTCAGGCACCAAAACAGGTGCCCTCCAATCTGGGTTTTAAAACAATGCTTGAAATACTCTTTAACCAAACACTATATCAACACCCATAAAACACAAAATAATTTATCATAGCCGAAAAAAAAATCATGGGCAAAAGATCCAATATATTACAATTTCTGTTCTTGTTTAAGGTTGGTGATCATCTGTGACCGCACAAATATTGAAAAATTTTCGAAACAAAACCCTCGCTAGCCAGGTGGAAGTACAAGGTTGTAAATTATTTTAGTTTGTTGGTGTTCTTCCATTTGTGGTATCAGTATCTTGAGGATTTCCAGGGGCTGGTGCTCCTGAAAACATTTCCATCATTGATCTCAATGCCCCTGTTACCTCCTCAGGCACATTTTCTCCAAAATTCAAATTGATGTTCCCACCAAGTCTTATGCCAGGCTCATCAGTTCCACCGATATTACTATCTTCTTCTTGTCTGTTCTGAGAAGGCTGCCCCTGCTGCATATTTGTGGCCATGTTCATAAGCATGCTTGCAAAATCACCGGGTAGAGCATTAGCATTAAAAGGCATTGTAAAGGAAGATGATGTTCCGTGACTTCTGAACCCTCCTGTTGACTGGTTCGGTTCTTGATTATTACGACTAGAACTGGTATTCTGTATGGGGAGAGAAACAATAAGTTTTATTATTATTCGTATATTGGGATAAGGCTGAATATTTAGGTTGAAGAAAGAAATAAGGCTCAACATTTTATTCTTCATTTAAAAGAAGAACAAAGATGAAAAGTTTGAACCTCCTACAACGTAAAAGCACAAATATTTTAAAGTTGAAGAAATCATGAACAATTGAAAGCAACATTTTGGGAAAAAAATAAAGAAGTAATGTGAACGGGTAATGCTACAGTCACCGAAGTAGTGCACTGAATGACGTAGCAAAATCCTGACCGTTTATTAATTTCAACTTAATATTAATCGACAGTCAGGATTTTGTCACGTCATTCGGTGCATAAATTCGGTGTATAACCTTCGGTGGCTGTATCCTTTCCGAATGTGAAAACCAAGTTGAAAGTATATCAGTATTATGATTAGATTACCTTCTTCAGTGGCAGAGCTAAGACGGGGGCCTAGGGACAGACCCCACAGAGTTATAAGAAGAACATCTATATGTATTTTAGACCTCAAATTATGATTTTTCATAATTTGCATTTGTTTTTTTGTTATAAAATATGCCCCCCTTTTGAAACAAATATTCTCATTCTTATATAAAAGCTAGTGACTAGTATTACCTGATCCAGCCCTGTCTGTTGCATCTCTTCTCTCAATTTCTGTGTAGCCACCTATGTTCCAAATGACAATTTAATCATAAAATGACAATAGATAAACATAATATCAACAACAACAGCAGTAACAATAAAGCAGCACCAACCTGAATATTCTCTTTGACAGATTCATTATTTGGATCCAATAGCAAGGCTACAAGGTAAAATCTCAAATATTAGAGATAAGCTTGTATACTAAAATAATTTGTCATAGACAATGCCCACCTTATTGCATCCAGCAAAGGATACTGTTAAAATAGCCTATGTATGCATAAATGGAGCAAAAAGATTGAGAGATTAAATGCAGGTTTCAGTTCACTGGCAATAATACATTCATGTTAATTTCCACACAAACCTTTCTTAAATCCTTTTTCAATAGCATCACTGTAGTTCCCTTGTGCATAATATGCTAAACCCAAGCGACTGTATGCCTTACTATAATTAGGGTCAATTTCAATGGACTTGAGACAGTCTCTGATTGCTTCAGTGTATTTGTGGATCTGTGTGTAAGCAGCTGCCCTGATAACCGTCATCATACAGAAAAATTAAAGTTTGCAAATTCATGAAAATGAATATCCAAAAAGGATGATATCAACAAAACCAGAAAGAAGGAATAAAAACGAAAAATTACTAGCAAAAAATCACAAATTATTTGCAACAACAGCCTTTCCTTAAAAATTTTAGATGACAATTTGTAACCAATATTATAGGGAAAACAAAAACTATAATCAATGTTTCCCCAGCTGATTTATATGAAATATCAGGAGTTCATGAGACAGGGTTTCCCCCTTCTTTGCATCACAATTTTTGAAAGAAGAAATCAAATGCAAAATTCATTAGCAATTGCTTAATTTAAACTTCCGAAATACCTGTGGTCCAGTGTATTACTTATTACAAATAAACAAGCAATCATAACAATTGAAAAGATCTTTCAGATTACTAGTAATCAACACATAATGCAGTAAACACAAAGCCTGGTCTATAAAGGTCAAAGCCAAATTACTTGTTGGGATGTTAGTGAAACAATGCTGAAACAGTACATGGGAATGTGATAAAAGAATGGAAAACAGAATTTAAAAAAAAAAAAAGAAAAAAAAAAAAAAAAAGATCTCTCACAACTATATTTGCAAAGTACACATTTAAAGCACCCACTGTGCTGTTTTTTCTTCTCAACTTTAGTAAGAGTCTCAGTCATTCAACTGAAATCAATCATAACTCATCTAA